GTTCTAGAAAAATAGAAAAGGGTTAATAATGCTTATATTCAAGTCATTAAGTATATATATGTCGGAGTTGTTACTTGTGTTCAGACACAAGGTGGTTTGACTAAGTATTTTCCTATTTCAGTTGGAGCATATGATAAAGTTTCAAGAGATGTGCAATGAAGAGTTCTAGAAAAATAGAAAAGGGTTAATAATGCTTATATTCAAGTCATTAAGTATATATATGTCGGAGTTGTTACTTGTGTTCAGACACAAGGTGGTTTGACTAAGTATTTTCCTATTTCAGTTGGATTCCATATTTTTTGCTTTAGGCATGGATATTTCACACTAGACATTTGCAAGAGGTTTTACCCCAGTGCATGCTTTTTGCTGATGATATTCTTCTTGTTGATAAGACTAGATCAAGAGGGAGTTGAGATAAACTTGAATTATGGAGGTCAACCTTAGAGTCTAAAGACTTTTATTTGAGTAGATTTAAAATTGAATATATGGAGTGTAATTTTAGTAGTAATAGTTTTTATGGGGAGATTGTGACTTTGGGTGATCAAGTCATTAATAAGAGTACATGTTTTAAATATCTTGAGTCTATTGTTCAGAGTGATCATGAAATAGATGGAGATATTATTAGTAGAATTCAAGTTCGATGCTTGAAGTGGAAGAATGCATCGGGTTGTTGTGTGATAGAAAAGTCCCCGGCCCTTAAACTTAAGAGAAAATTATATAAGATGGTGGTTAGACCTGCAATGCTTTATGGTGCAGAATGTTGGCCATTAAAAGAGAAGCATAATATAAAATTAAGTGTTGTAGAGATGAGGATGCTTAGGTGGATGAGTGGCTTCACTTTTATAGACAAGATTTGAAATGAGCATATATGTGAAAAGGTTGGAGTAGCTCTGGTGGAAGATAAGATAAGATAGAGTCGCTTTAGATGGTTTGGTCGCATAAAACGACGGTCTTTCGATGACCAAGTTAGGAAAGTAGATGTGAAGAAAGGTAAAGGTAGACCTAAAAAGACTTGGTTAGAAAATATTGTAAATGGTATTTTTTTTATTAGATTTAAATGAGAATTTAACTTTTAACATGACATAATGAAGAAAAATGATTCATGTAACTAACCCCACATAGTGGGACAACGACTTGATGTTGTTGTTGTTGTTGTAAATTATTCTAAATAATCATTTTTAAATATTTTAAAATAAAAAATAAAATAAAGTTTTAAAGCAATAGTTCATTGTTCATATTGTGCCCCCTCAATTCTCTAAAGTGGCATAGATTTTCTCCTTACTATACAATATATTTGTGGGTCTAAGGCAATAGTTGTGTGATATAGATATCACATAAAATTTAAGTTACATACATCAAATACTTTAGAGAGCTTATATAGACAAAGAAATAAACTCCTTCAAATATTATATATAGGAAAAAAATTTAATTTTTCATGGACCCTACATTAGTGGCTAGCCTTAAAATGTCCCATAATTATTATTTTTTAATTATTTTAATTTTATTTTTTATAATAAGTCTTGTTATTTTTAAACTACTCAAAATAATTTGACATAATTCGAGTATTTTTTTTTTAATTATAGCTATCACAATCAACAACCATCACTATTATTATAGACCACCGCCACTTTCATCACTTTGTCGTCGCTAATTGTTGTCATGTTAACTACTGCCACTACCAACGTACAAGTCAAATTATTTGATATTCAATAAAAACAAAGCGAACATAATCTTAAGGTACAAAATAAATTTCATTTCATATCAAAATGTAAATAAAATAATAAAACACAGAAGTAAGATTGATCCCAATAACCCCTTATAAATACATATATGAGAGTATACATCCTTTTAAGTAGTCAATTTCTTTTTTTAACATCCAATGCATTAACCTATCATTAATGTCTTAATAACCAGCCAAAAGGAAGCTACAGAACTACATTCTTTCTTGTTCTGAAGCAGCAGTAAGAATTCCCTTTTGATACTTGTCATCAAGAATGATTCAGAAAGTGAAGAAGAGAGAGATTAATTTCAGTTCAATTTGTATCTGTTGCTGACAGATGGATTTCTTAATTATAGAGGACAAAATAAATTATGAGAAAAGTGAAATGATGAAGATACTTTAGCAGTCAATAAATCAAAAGGGATTTATATTTCATGGATGAGAGTAATTTTGTTTTGAAAGTGGCACTGCTATCTATGAGAGACCAAAGAGAGCTATGTGAATCATAGATATCAGATGACTCATTATTATGTGCTTAAATGCCCTCAACAAATACTTTTCTCTCTCTCTCTCTCTCTCTCTCTCTCTATGCATTCTCTATAGCAGAAATGATGCATGCCTTTGAAAGTCGAGGAAAAGAAAAATTGAAGAACTCTCTCTCTCTCTCTCTTACTCTCTCTCTCTCTCTCTCTCTCTCTCTCTCTCTCTCTATCTCTATGCAATCTCTATAGCTGAAATGATGCATGCCTTTGAAAGTTGAGGAAAGGAAAAATTGAAGAAGCCATGGAGGGAATGAGGAGAGGTGAATGTGGTCAATGCCTTAAATGAGAGTAGGTAGGTGAGTGAGCTCTCCTCTAAGAATATGAAGGGAAAATCATTAACTGTTTCTAACGAATCAACATTACTACTTTACTATTCTTTTATCATAAAAAATATTCTAATATGAGGTTTGTTCATAGTATCACTATTTGTTATTAAATGCAAGTCAAATATATTTTTTTCTCAAAAAATTATTTTTATAGTAAAACATAGAGTTATCTGATGGTCAAACAACTGTAGTTAAAAACAAAATGTAGGACTCTTTCTTGGGAGAAATTATTATGTGCGGTAATCGAATTGTCCAGAGGCAAATCAGAATGCACCATATCACCAATATACAGCAGCTGCACACAGCAAAAAAATGACATGATAGGTTCTAATTTGTTCCTAGACGTCGTTCCGTGACTGCACAGAATAATTTAACCTTGATGTATCAAATGATATGCATGTATATTATTTATTAAGTTGGTGTCCTATGAAAGACATGATAAGACAATTTACTTGTGTTTTATTTTTCAGACATCAACCATAATTTCATTTGTCTACTACTTTTCATAATTTATCGAAAAATTTTTGGATAAAAAACTACTTTTGCAATCAAAGTGATTAAAGTTTCATTTAAGACAGTTTTCTTAATTTAAGTAATGATACATCATCAAAAAATTATCTTGATGGCATGAATCTTGATACAAAATCAAGTTGGAAAGTCCCAAAATTAATATTGGGACCATCTGAGTTCTAATTTCAGCAAACTTACAGTCGAACTGAATGTCTCGGAAATACGAATCCAATGACACCAAATTCGACTCAATACGAGCCCAAATAGGTTCGAATTACTTATTCGAAGCGTTTTTGGAAGGTTCAAACCACAATTTGGGTTACCAGAAGGTTCTCAACATGACATGCTTATAGTCGAGTTGAGCGGCTCGACGAGACAAATCCAATGAGCCCAAGATCGCAGAATTATGACATCATTAAGATCTTCAAATTTCTGACGAATGGTCCACGATCAAGGGATTCAACATCGGTCATCCATCCAAGCCACTCCCAATTTTTTCTTGATTCTCCATCTATTTACGAGTCATGCTACTCTAGGAAATCTATAAATAGAGCCTCATTTTTTTCTTGAAAAGGAACCAAAGCCAAAGGATTCAAAGAGATAGATCGGAGATCGTTCTTGCCTCCTTGCTCCTCCTTGATCACCGCCTGAGTTTCGCCGGACGTCGTTGCTCCGTCGGACCACCATTTGAGGTCCTTACCTTCGCCGAACCACCACTTGAGGCCCTCACCTTCCCTGGACCACAACTTGAGGCCCTAAGCTCTGGCGGACCACCACTTGAGGCCCTGAGCTTCGCCGGACCACCACTTGAGGCAATCACCTTCGCCGGACCACCATTTGAGGCCCTCACCTCCGTCGGACCACCAATTGAGGCCCTCACCTCCACCTGACCACCACTTGAGGCACTCACATTCGCAGGACCATCACTTGAGGTCTTGAGCTCTGCCGGACCACCACTTAAAACCCTCACCTTCGCTGGACCACCACTTGAGGCCCTCACTTATGTCGGACCACCACCTGAGGCCCGAAATTCTGCCGGACTAGCATCCTTGTTTGTTACTAGATTTTACTTTTACAGTTGACATTTGTAATATGATCGCCCACAAGGACGAGTCAGCCTGTTGTAAGCTACTCAATTTTTATTGGAATCACTTTCTACTGGGTTAGGCCCCATGATTTTTTTCCTTTTCCAGGACTTTCCACATAAAAAATATTATGTTCTGTATATGTAAGTTGGATATCCATGCAACGCTAAGACTTTGACTTCAACTCTATCGTCGTGTATATTCTAACCCGCAACAAGTACAAAATTTTTTGAATAAAAATTTTTTATGCTAAAATTTTGCTTTAGAAAGTAGTAAGAAAGCTCTCTCAAATGAAACCTAAATTAATTTCATCAAAATAATTTTACAGCCAACTTTATAAAACTCTACGGTCATCCCAAACCAACCCTTATTAAAAATAAAAAAATATCAAAGTGTCTACTCTTTTTTTCTTATCTATTTTGTTTATCAATATAATAAGTACATATTAGTTGTTTTATTAAGAATCTTTGTTTTTTGTTGGTCAGTTGAACATAGAGAAGAAGAAGAAGATAGAAGATCTGTGCTTCTCTACATCAATAATATGAACCAGTTTCAGCATTCTATATAGATTTCATTCCTCACAGCAATATGTCTAATTGGCTTGAAGAAATGGAATAACAAATTAAAGTTATTACATTTATATTAAAAGAAGAATCAAAATAACATGAAAATTAAATTAATGATGCATTTAGGCTAATTTTTTCAATTTTTTTACTTTATAAATAGTTGCAAATCTGAATATAATTTTCTTATTATTATTTTTTTTAAATTTCTACAGTGAGAAGTTTTTTACAATTAATTTTTTGAAGAGAAAATATAAAATACTCATAATAACTTCTTCTTTTTCTTACAACAATTTCATAACTAATATTACAGACAGTAACATCCAATCCCAAAGGGACTCTAAATCCCCTTTTTAATGAACAAAAGGAAACAAATCACCTCATAAACAATAAACCAGCTTGATCTTTCTCAGAATTTCTTCATTAATATATGCCTATCAGCCTTACAAGAACATAAGCTTCATTTGTGGAGAAATTATTACGAGCGGTCACCGGACAGTCCAGAGACGAATCAGGATGCACCACATCACTCCGATACACAGCAAATGGTGACGTGGTGCGTCCTGATTTGCATATGGACATCATCCGGTGACCGCACGTAATAATTTCACTCATTTGTGACAGTTTTCTTACCCCTTTCTAAAGCAACTTTTTAGTACAAAAATTTTTTTAAATAAAAATTTTTGTACTAAAAAATTACTTTAAAAGCAGTAAAAAAACTATCTCAAACGAAGACTTAGTTCCATCAAAATGGTTAGAGATTACCTTAAACAGTGAGTGGGAAAAAAAAAGAAAGAGAAAAAAATGAAATACTGCTCCAGCTGAACATGCTAACTAAAGCTTTCACTACTCAAAATATCTGATCACTCTTTGAGATCATAATCTGAGGAAATGTTAGCTTCTGACTGCAATTTAAGACCCTTTCCACAAGCAGCAATGAGGAGAGCTTCAGCTCGACCTGTACAAAGAAAATCAAAGAAGACTGTATTCTCAATGAGAGAAATAAATCTATCTATTCAAATGGAATCCACAATAAGTAAATGAATATTTCAAAGATTATAGAATGGAAATACCATGATCTTTCTTCCTCTTCAAGAAGGAGCTCATTGATGGAAACAAGATCGATGCAGTTTTTCTGCTATCATCCTGATAAAAAAAGTGTCCTAAATGAGTTTGTGAATATGGATTGAAAAATATAGGGTCGGATGAACCATAAGAGATCAAATTGTACAATTAGTTTCCAGTGACCTGTCACTGAATGTATTTTACTTACAAAAATATAGCAGAAAGAAGAAGCTATTAGGGGCTGTTTGGTCGCTTGAAAAAGAAATGCAAAGTAAAATGAATACTTTGGAGTTGTTTGAAAGAGTGTAAATGATTCTCCCTCAAAATTGGGCGAGAACAGTTTATCTCAAATATGAACCAGAATGGAATACACTGCATCAAACCAAAAAACCAAACATTCCAAAATCCATGAATTTACTCTATTTTAGACTCTAAAATATTCCGAACAAACAATCCCTTAATGGGGCGGGCATGGAAGTAAGATCTCATTTTGTACATCATAATCTACTCAGGTAAAAACTTATTCATTTATTGATTAAGATATAAATGATGTTTAGCTTTTAAAAAGTAGAAAATGAGCTAGAATTGTAACCTGAGTGTGCTAGCCAAAGAGTGCACTGACCTTGCTATAAGAACTCCCACAAAGTTGAAACTGATCTTTCCATAGACGAGATGTTATGGGAACAACAGAGAAGCCTGATGCAACTAAAATCCCAATCCACAATCCATATGTGAATCCCCCACTCCACCACCCCTAAGGAAAAAAAAAAGGATGGCAAAATTTAGTACATGTTTGTATTGTTCTTGTGATCATTGTAAAGAGAGCATAGCACACTACTGTTTGCAAACAAGAAAGAGAAAAGAGCATTATGTCATGAAGAGCTAATATGGGAAAAGTTTATGGTTGTTGAGCCTAATTTTTGCCCTACAAAACAAATATGGGGTGCATATTTAATCATAGGTTAACCTTCATTATACGGTTGTTGTAATGGTTGAAAGGGAGGTGAAAACCCCCTCTTGAGATTTTAAGGGCCATACCCCCAAAACTATTTAAATATTTGCAAGTAATTTCAATTAAGGTGTTTTGAGAAATTCTGGATTGTTCTATATTTATTTTTATAAAGGAGCATTATATTTATATTATATTTGAGAAATTGATGTTGTTGTTTTATCTTGACTTTATAGTTACAATATAGTATTTACAAAATAGATTAAATTATCCTTTTAAATAATACTCCCCTTAGTTAAACATGTTTATTTTTCTGTTCATAGTAATGGGAATATATCCCCCAATCAAATAGGGTTGGATTATTATCTTGTATTTTTTGATAAACTACTTTCATTTGGCGAAAGTTACTTTTCCATATTTTCCATTCATCCTCTTTGTTGATCCCAAGTGTGGTCATATTGGTATCAGAGCAATGCTGAGATGAAAGGTAGCAACATCGTAGCTTACGATGGCAATCATAGTTCGATCTCCCTCCAAAAAGCACACTCCGCCCTCGAGCACAAGCTGGATACCTACAATGATGGGTTTCAGCATCTTGTTAGGGAGATGCGGCGTAAGATTCGGCACATTAGGAATAGCAACGTCATCAAGCTGGCAACAAGATGGCCAAAATAATTGACGTTGTGATGTCCTCGTTGATCCAACCAGTCGGCACGAGCAAGGTTTCCTGGATCAGATGGCAAATAATACCATCATCACCTATCTGATTCTTCATGTCATTCATGTATAATATATCCTTTCTTGGAATAGTCCCCACCTCATTGTGCTCCACAAGACCCAATAAAAATCTCAAATAAATTTGCTCAATATAAAATACAAAATAAGGATTCAACCATTTTTTGAATGAGGATTCCCACTAGGAATATTAATAAAATTTAACCCTAGAAATTTTTTTAAAGTAATTGAAAGCAAAAAATTAGTGCATTTTAAATCTTACAAAGGCTACTCATCTGATTCTTCGTTGCTGCATTGATATATTCATTGATGTTTTTTAAAGCTCCAGCTGGATAACCTAAAGTGAAGCCCAAAAGGATAAGCCATTCAAAATAAAAAGTCTACAGCCTTAACCTAAGCCTGTCATTTTATTTTGATTTGTTTCCAAGAATTCATAAAGGCCAAACCATCTAACTTAGTATTTTTCTGATGGCAGGGTAATACAGCAATTGTTACAATGATGCTGCATTGGAACTTTATAAAGGGAGTATAATCTTTACAGAAAACATAAATTAATTTAACTCTAACAAGAAGTCTAACCTGTTTTCCATCCTGTGGAAAAGGAGTTGATTGCTCAATATATGCTCTTGTTCCTGAAATATTCGATCTTTTTTCAATTGAATGCAGGATGAAAAGCCTCTAGAGAACAAAGTAAAAGAAACATGGAATAATATGTATGCCTACACCAGCATATTGGAAAAACATAAAAGTATGAAATAAAGTAGCACATAATGCTTAGTCGGGGAGGAATTCAACATTTAAAAGAAACTTAGATGATAGTAGCATGTCATACAACAACAACAACAACATCAAACCTTTATCCATCACATGGGGTCGGCTACACAAATCCTTTTTGATGAGAATATCAGCAGGAGATTCTGGTGCGTCTATCAGAGGAGACATCATAAATTGACGGCTACGATTTGGAGTCTTTACTTGTGATGCATTTTATGTATTTCTTTTATTTATGTTCTAGCTTTACCATTATACCTTTGAGAGAGATTAGTTCATGTTGTAGCCCAAAGGGCAATTTAGTCTTTGTGTTTTGTTCCTTGAGGCCTATATATGAAGGCCCTAGCCTTTGTATTGAGATGATGATGATTTTGAATGAAAATTTTAGCACTTGTTCCTTTTCTTTGTTGTGAGCTCTTGAGAGAGGAGATAACCCTAAAAGAGGAAAAATTATTCCGTCAGGTTACCTGACGTAGAGCTACATCAGGTAGCCTATAATATGTCGCCACGTGAACTTATTCTTTACCGTGCGGCCTGACGTCCCGACCCTGAACGGACCCGGGAGTTTGCGTAGCTCGGTATTGCTAGGTATTGGTCGACTTTGCTAGACAAAAATGAAAAATACTATTATGTGAAGACCAATACCGAGCAATACCGAGTTCTTTT